AACAGTGGTCACCCAGGTCCAAAGGTAGCAGCTGAGAACTGACTGCATATGGTGTGAACTAGGGATTTTTCTCAGGTAATGACAATGTTCCAAAACTGCATTTTGGTAATGTTGACAACTCTGTAAATTTACTAAAAATTATTGAAGGATATACTTAAAACAGGTAAATTTTATCATATATACATTATACCTCAATAAAGTAGTCTTTTTAAAAAAACTCTATATGAATTTCAACTGTTTATATTAAATATCTTCCAAATACTATTCCTTTAATCTCTGACTTTTAAAAATGACAAGATTTGAATCATTCCTTCTCTATAACCAATTTTTTTTTTTTTTTTTTTTTTTTTGAGACAGAGTTTCACTCGTTACCCAGGCTGGAGTGCAATGGCGCGATCTCGGCTCACCGCAACCTCCGCCTCCTGGGTTCAGGCAATTCTCCTGCCTCAGCCTCCTGAGTAGCTGGGATTACAGGCACGCACCACCATGCCCAGCTAATTTTTTGTAGTTTTAGTAGAGACGGGGTTTCACCGTGTTGACCAGGATGGTCTCGATCTCTTGACCTCGTGATCCACCTGCCTCGGCCTCCCAAAGTACTGGGATTACAGGCGTGAGCCACCACGCCCGGCCTATAACCAATTTTTTTAACTCCCATTCAATTTTAAACAGATTATAAAAATTAATTCTCAGAAGTTTGATTCATTTTCTTTAATCTATATCATCAAGATGACAATTTTGGTAATGAGTTTCTTTCATTCCCCAATAACTCAACGAGTTGATGTAATCAGGCTAAATGAATGATCTAATGACTCAGACTGCAACACTACTTTACAAAGCTGTGATGATTCCAAAGTTCTTAAGTCTGCTGGAGAAATAACAATACCATGTGTCAAATAAAATAATTTATACAGTTTCCGGTATGTACAGTATAAATCATTGTCTAACTCTGGCCCAGTACCCACTTTTGCATCCTAGGTTTTTAACCCTTTTTGGCCCCCTTCACATGAAGAAAAGGAATTTACATTGCTCTTCACTGGACTTGTTTTTTCTCCTCACAAAGTTCCAAATACAGCACCAGTCTCTTTCCTCATTTCGCAATTAAAGACCTCTTTCAACTCATCTACTCCAAAACATAGAACCTTGACAACTTTTACCTGTTCTCCATAGTGAAATTACCCCTGTAAAGCTAAAGGTCATTAAAAAAACTCCCATCAACAGTTTATTTCTCTGTTAACACTGACAGTTTATTTCTCTGTCGACCAAGCACATTCCTAATTAGTTGCCCTCTCTTCATTTATGATTCCATTTTCAATTCTCACCAATGGCTTTCATTTGGCGTGGGCTGTATTTGATCCACAAGGGACCTCATGGTAGGTCATGTTCTATCATTACTCCCAGGTAATATTAAAAAAATTTAAAAAGGAGTCTTTCAAGTCTCTCAATCTGTGGTTTACAGGATGAACCTTAAAATTATAAATATGCACATAAATATATTTACAAATAGAAAAATAAAAATAAATGCAAAGATTTAATTTAGAATCAGTCTTTTGGCTTCAGTTTCATTCCAAGCATCTTCTTTCCCATAGATTTCTTAAATGTTAAATCCTGAGAAATGTAGTTACAACTGAATATTCATTACATTCATTAAAGTGCATGTACATAGTTTTTAAAGAGTTTTCTTTTCTTAATAGAAAAGAAAACTCTTTTTTTTTTTTCCTTAAGACAGGGTCTTACTCTGTTGCCCAGGCTGGAATGCAGTGGCACAATCATAGCTCACTGCAGCCTCAACATCCTGGGCTCAAGCAATCCTCTCATCTAAATCTCCTGAGTAGCCGGGACTGCAAGGTGTGAGCCACTATGCCAGGCTAATTTTTAATTTTTTTTAAAAATAGAGACGGGGGTCTCACTATGTTGCCCAGGCTGGTATAAAACTCCTGGCCTCAAGTGATCCTCCCACCTCAACCTCCTAAACTGCTGAGATTACAGGTGTGAACTACCACAAAGCCACCTCTTTATCTGGGCTAACAGAGGCCTATTTAACTTAAAAGTTAAATCAGAGTAATTTCAACAAATATCTATTGAACATCTACTACTTAACAGGCCCTGGAATGTTTAGGGACAAATAAGGAAGAGTTTCTCCCTTCAAGGAGTTGATATTGATAGGCTGTTGGGAGAGAAGAAAACATAACTACACATAATTAGATTGGGAAGGTACTCAAAAAAATTTTTTTTAAGGCTATGGTAACAGAGGTGGCAACTGGGAACCACTGGAAAAGGTTTCAAACAGCTGACCTGTCAAAAAGAAAGTAATAGTTCAACTGGAATGACTAAAACAGAATGGGGAAGAGACAAATAAGATGAGGTGTGGCTGTGGTACTGGGTGAGAGTGTATTTTGGGAGGCCAGGCTGAAGCTTGATTAAGATAACACTAGCTAATACTTACCAAGCACCTTCTATGTGCCAAGTACTATTAATGCACTTTATATATATTAACTTACTTTATCCTCACAATAACCCTATGAGGAATGCGCTATTCTTATTCTCATTTCATAGGTGGAAAAATTGAGGTATAGGATGGTTTAAATAGCCTGTTCTTGGTTACACAGACACAACTAAAAGCTATGTCAGTAAAACCTTGAAATCCATAAAAAAATAGAGGACCCAATTCCATCCCACTCCAACCACATTTATCGTAAAAGCAACTAAAAGGTATCTTATCTACCTCTTCTCTCACGAATTCCTAGGCCATCCTTCAAGGCCTAGCTTGAAAACTGTATTATCTGCAAAACCTTTGTTGATCCTCCCGGCTGCACATAGTCTCCTAAGCATCATAGCATTTTATGTGTGTCAATCTTATGGGATATTTTGTTCTTGGCATTACAGATTTTTTATGCATTCTTTCCTTTTTTTTTTATTCTTCTTTAGTCTGATCCACATTCTGTCCTCCACAACTTCGAGGACAGTGCCTGGCACATACTAATGCTAGCTAAGTCTACGGAGCACTTAACTCTTTGCAGGGCATTGTGCTCAGCATTTCACAGGAATTATCTCACAAAATGCTTATGGCAACCCAATTCACACATTCAAGAGCTATTTTTAGCCCTTACTGTGACAGACAAAATAGTAAATACTAGATGCACCTTAAACTCATTAAAGGCTAGGGATACAGTCCCTGCCCTCAAGAAGCTCAGTCTAAAGAAGTTGGTTCTAATTGAAATCCCCAGATATGAGGAAAAGTGAGGCTCAAAGCAGTAATGTGTTTGCCCAGAATCACAGAGCAAAAAAGTGGCAGAGAGCCTGGGCAACATAGCGAGGCCCTGTCTCTACAAAAAATATTTAAAAATTTGCGGGGCATGGTGGCTTAAGTAGGAGAATTGCTTGAGCCCAGGAGGTTGAGGCTGCAGTGAGCTGAGATCGTGCCACTGCACTTCAGCCTGGCTGACAGAGGGATACTCTCATTTCAGAAAGAAAAGAAAAGAAAAGAAGGGAAAAGAAAAGAAAAGAAAAAAAAATTAAAAGAAAAAAATGAAGGAAAAAAAAAAAAAGATGTCAGAGCCAGAATTCAAACTAGCTCTCCGGAGTGGATATACAGGACCCCACGCACGCATAACCACTATGTTCTGCAGTAGGCACTTGATAAACCCTTACTGAAGGAAATGTTTTGGAATACCACTAAAATGAAAAAGCATCTCAATGATAATGAAGGGTTTCAGTCACTGTTTTTCTTTTTCATGAGGGGAAAGCAGGAAATTTGCAAAAGTTAAATAGTACAGAGAAAGGTCGGAGGTCGTGTTGGTCGCCTACTACTCACCTGCGACCTCAAAATTGCTCATCAAGCCATCTGTTGAGACTAGCTGAGGATGGAGAGTTTCTTTCTTTCCTTTTTCATGGACCACAGAGGAGACTTAAAGGAGGATTTCTTTGTGTCCCTTAAAGTGACTCCCATTGAGCGTGTCCCTCAAACGGGGCCTTCCTAAGCATCAACGCTTTGCTGTGCGCGGGGTGGTGGGGCTGAGTCACTAACACTGAGAGTCTGGGCTGTACCTCCTACCAAATAACCAGCGGAGTGGAGTGACAGGTAACGATTCACAGTTCCTTACTTAAACATGGTGCAGTCTTCCTGAAATATGGACTCAGACCCCAAGAGAACAGGTCTCCAAAAGTGTGTGAATCCGTACTTCCCAGTGGACGGGGGAGAAAGTCGCAGTGGACTATGAGAGACCCTGCAACTCCTCAGGCGCCCCCTTCCCCGGGGGTCAGGAACAGCTGCAGACAGCCCCGCCTCCGTCTCGCCTCCATCCCGAGCTGTTCCCGTCTCCAAAGGCCACGTTGGGAGCCACACAGTTTGGCCTAATCATCTCCTCCAACAAGAGTAGCGACACCCCAAAATGTAGACCAAGCAGAAGGAGGCGTTGGAGGCACTTGTCTTATTCCCCACGATGTTTTGAAACAGAGTCTCGCTCTGTTGCCCAGGCTGGAGTGCAGTGGCGCGATCTCGACTCACCGCAGCCTTCGCCTCCCTGGTTCAAGCGATCCTCCCGCCTCGGCCCTGCCGAGTAGCTGGCTGGCTGTGTGTGTGTGTGGTGTGTGTGTGTGTGTGTGTGTACACAGGTTCTCGCTATGTGTGTGTGTGTGTGTGTGTGTACACAGGTTCTCGCTATGTTGCCTACCCCAAAATTTTTAGCTCAACAGGAGACCGCCTGCCTTTATACACCAGGTTCATCAAGTTAAGCAGGGCAGCAGCCCTCTAAGGGCCAGCCCCACGCCCAGGGGCTCCTCCGACAGCGCAGACAGATGCCCTGGGCGGCTGGCTCGACTCAGTCTCTGGTCCCCGGCCCGGGGCCACCCGAGCCCCCTGCCCCGCCTACAGCGCTCAGCAGTTAACCAGGCAACGGCGCGCAGAAGCCACCGCCGGGACGCAGAAGGCGTGTTTGGCGCCGGGCGCGCCCCGCCACCCCGCCTATCCGGCCTTCCGCCAATGGCTTGCTGCGCCGGTGCCGGGAGCGCTAGGCCGGTTCTTCCTAGGACAGCGCTGTGCGCAGGCGCCTTGACGAGTGGGCCGAGTGAGGGGGCGCCTTACGTAGCGGAGGTGGGAGACGGAAATGGAAAGGGCGGGCGCGCTAGACCTTTCCCTGGCTGGGCTCCAGCTGGAGAGCGCGTTGGGGGCCGACTGGGAGCGGTGGGCTCCGGGGAGGTCGAGGTCGGGGCCCCTACCCGGATTTGGAGTAGGGTTGCGGCGGCCCAGCTGACCCGCCGGCGTTTGTATGTTATGTGCCCACCCAGGGAGCCATGGACAACTGTTTGGCGGCCGCGGCGCTGAACGGGGTGGACCGACGTTCCCTGCAGCGCTCAGCAAGGCTGGCTCTGGAAGTGCTGGAGCGGGCCAAGAGGAGGGCAGTGGACTGGCATGCGTTGGAGCGTCCCAGAGGCTACGTGGGGGTCTTTGCCCGGGAGGCGCCCCACCTGGAGAGACGGCTGGCAGCCGGCCCACAGCGCTTTCTCCTGGGAGAGGTGAGGGTCGCTGTGGGGGAACCGCTCCAGTCATTCGCACTGCGGTGGCCCGCTGGCAGCCAGGGGCAAGCTCAGTGCAAAACACCTGAGGAAACCTCCCCTTAGCGGAAGCTGGAAAGGATCAGGACAATGAATGGAAAAGTCCTTTCAAAACGCTTTACATTTGACAGATTCTTTTTGGGTAGCTGTAGAATAACGGTAGTATTCAGACCTGCTTGATTACTTTTTTTTTTTTTTTTGAGACGAAGTGTTGCTCTGTCGCCAGCCTGGAGTGTAGTGGCACAATCTCGGCTCGCTGCAACCTCCGCCTCCTGGGTTCAAGGGATTATTCTGCCTCAGCCTCCCGTGTAGCTGGGACCACAGGCGCGTGCCACCACGCCTGGGTAATTTTTGTATTTTTAGTAGAGACGGGGTTTCATCATGTTGGCCAGGATGGTCTCCATCTCTTGACCTCGAGATCTGCCCGCCTCGGCCTTCCAAAGTGCTGGGATTACAGGCATGAGCCACCACGCCCGGCCGATTACTTTTTTAAAAACAAATCTTACAGCTATCTTCTGATAAAAGAGGAAAGCCCGTAAACCTATCTCTTAGGTCCTGGATAAATTACATGTCTATCTTTTAGAGTTGGAATTCTTTCTCAGTAACATTCTTCTGACATAAACTTGCCGAGTCTTTTCATAAGTAAAAACGAGGCTATTCAAAATTGCTTCATTCTCTAGCAGGGAATCCTGGATCTAACCTGTGACTTGCCATTTATTCAAATAGAGAGAAGAGAGACCCCCAACCCTTAGTGCTTCCTTCAGAACAATGGCTGAATTCATGGACTATACTTCAAGTCAGTGTGGGGTAAGTTGGTGTGAACCAAAGCTATGTCCCATCACCTGCTGATGGACCACAGTATGGATCTTTCTGGAATTTGGAAGGAATCTGGAAACTACCTGTTTCACCTGCGCAGCCTCCATGGGCAGATTGTAATCAGTCAAACACTTCAACCAGGGCGTAAATGCAAGTTAGAATTCACCCAACAAATTTTTATTGAATGCCTAACCCTGTAGTTGACAATACAGCAATGAAAAGTCAGAAAAGGTCATCTCTCCTCAGTGATTTTAAGTCCAGTCGGGGGAAAAAATAGCTTATTTGCTGAATTCCATAGCAAGTAAGTTAAATATTAGGGTGTTTGTTTTTTGTTGCTGTTTTTTTTTTTTTTTTTTTTTTGATAGAGTCTCCATCACGCAGGCTGCAGTGCAGAGGTGCTATCTCAGCTCATTGCAACCTCTGCCTCAGCCTCCTGAATCGGTGGGATTACAGGCACCTGCCAGCATGCTCACCTAATTTTTATAGTTTTAGTAGAGATGGCGTTTCACCATCTTGGCCAGGCTGGTCTTGAACTCCTGACCTGGTGATTCACTTGCTTCCACCTCCCAAAGTGCTGGGATTACAGGCACGAACCGCTGCGCCCAGCCTCTACATCTTTTGTAAGAATCCCTGACTCCAAGAATAGGATTCCAACCAGTGAGGAATAGTTCAGGGAATATTTTTATCTTATTTGTATTGTTCAGTGGTTTTAGAAAAATCAATAACTTCAGCTCTACTGTGATTAAACACTTGGTTCATGGTTCAGCAAAAGGAATAATATTTGTCTTTGGTTTGAGGTTTAGCAAATTGCTGTTATTCATTCTGATTTTCAGGTGATGCATCAGTTCGAGTCTCCATTATGAAATGGAGCCTCAAAACCCCTTGACTTTATAGAGTTAAGAATTGTGTACTGGGTTTGTCTCCACAGTTTGAAACATCCACTAAAATACATCTTTAGGTCTGTGTCCTCAAGTGCTTTCCCCAGCTTCTCATTCTTTTGGTCACATGTTTTTAGACAGTGTCTCTACCCTGTGTTCAAAACAAGCAGGTCTGTGATGGCCTCATTATTAGTCGTTATCAAGGGCAAGTCTCAGGCTAACTTCAAGGGGGAGGAAGGAAGCAGACGAGAAATGTAACTGTTTTTCCATCCTTTGGAAGATTCTTCTTAAATTAGAGACTTCTCCCTCCACTCCCCCACATGCCGGAAGCACAGAGAAAAGGGCTACAGACTTCTTGGGTTTATGTTTCATTTCCTGCTGTGTTTCTGAATCTCAAGAAAATGGACCTCTCTCTTCCAGTGTCCTTGTCTGAGACTTAGACAATAAACATGGAACTGTTCACAGTTTTTAGGGGAGAAAATGAAAGGATATGTGTATTTGACAAGGGGGCAAAGATGTGAAATTTGTTTAACCTGGCAGAGAGCATGGTCCTACCCACCTTTAGTTGGCCAACATTCTTGCCCTACAGAGGCAGCAGGTGGCAGCATGGTGATGCCAAATGCACTTCTTTCTCTGCAGCCACTTTGGGTGGGCTGATTTGCTGCATGACTTGAGAGGCCTGTCAAGAGGGCAGGTAATTCACCTTTGCTGTCTTGCCTCCCTTCTTCACTGTACTTTGCTCAAATACCATGGTGTTTTGAAAACTTGACATGACAATTTGGTTACCTAACATCTTTGACATTACTTCTCTAGAAATATTATTCATCTGTGCCAGAGGACGGAGGGGCAACCCATGTTTATCGTTATCACAGAGGCAAGTCGAAGCTGCACATGTGCCCGGACACAGGGAGTGGTCAGGTAAGTGTCCTCAGCTGTCCTGCACTATGCCTTCAGTCTACCAAGATTCGACACCCTATATTCAAGAGCCCTTGCTAGACTTTGTGTCAAAGGATGCCTGTGAGACTTGGCATTACAGTGCTTAACGGAAATGTATAAATTCATCACCTTAGAGAACTTACAGCAATGAATGTGAAATAGGAGGTTGTCAAAAATAGAAGATTGATGCCACTGTAGGATCTTCAGTTGAACTTACAGTCCTGGGCCATGGAATTCTCTGGCAGGTTTAAAGAAAAGAGCTTCCAAGCCTGGAACGTGCTGCATGCAATGATCGCCCCTGCGACTATCCTCTGCACTCTATCCTGGGCAACATAGATCCTTTCTCTATTTTTTTTTTTTTTAAGACGGAGTCTTGCTCTGTTGTCAGGCTGGAGTGCAGTGGTGTGATCTTAGCTCACTGCAACCTCCATCTCCCGGTTCAAGCGCTTCTCCTGCCTCAGGCTCCAAAGTAGCTGGGATTACAGGCATGTGCCATCATGCCCGGCTAATTTTTGTATTTTTAGTAGAGACAGTGTTTCACCATGTTGGCCAGGATGGTCTCGATCTCTTGACCTTGTGCTCTGCCTGCCTCAGCCTCCCAAAGCGCTCTGATTACAGGCATGAGCCACTGCGCCTGGCCCCTTTCTCTATTGTTTATAAAAGAGCTCCAAATATCCTCTTTTATATCTAGGGACAGAAATTTTATTTTCTTTTTTCTTTTTTTGAGACAGGGTCTTATTCTATCACCCAGGCTGGAGTGCAGTGGCACAATCACAGCTTACTGCAGCCTTGACTTCCTGGGCTCAGGTGATCCTCCCACCTTAGCCTCCTGAGTAGCTGGGACTACAGGCACATGCCACTACAGCCAACTAATTTTTAATGTTTTTAATAGAAATGGGGTTTTGCCATGTTGCCCAGGCTGGGAGAGAAGATTTTTAAAAATTACATTTTTTACTTAAGGTAAGTGGTAACTGTCATAACTTTGGTAATTTTTTTTTTTTTTTGAAAGGGAGCCTCACTCTGTCACCCAAACTGGAGTGCAGTGGTGTGATCATGGCTCACTGCAACCTCTGCCTCCCAGGTTCAGATAATTCTCCTGCTTCAGCCTCCCAGGTAGCTGGGACTACAGACATACACCACCACGCCTGGCTAATTTTTGTATTTTTAGTAGAGATAGAGTTTCACCATGTTGGCCAAGCCAGTCTTGAACTCCTGACCTCAGGTGATCCGCCTGCCTTGGCCTCCCAAAGTGCTGGGATTGCAGGCGTGAGCCACGGTGCCTGGTCTTTCACAATTTTTAAAAAGAAAGTAGAAGGGAAGTGTGGGGACAGGGGTCTCTATTAACTAAATACTTTTTGTAAAGGTATATAACAATTAAAGGCCTCTCACTACAAACTTACTTTTTACCACATGTCATTCTGGGGATGCCAGCAATCCTGCTTACTGAACCGATTCAAAGGAGGAGATGGTGGCAATGATTTCTGAGGAGATTAGGTTTTTGCTTTTGTTTTAAACTACCCTACTTGTACTCAAAGGTAGCAAACTGAAGACCAGAGTCTAATCCAGAGTCTAAGTTGGATTCTTGACTTCTTTGGTCTGTCAGCCATTTTGGGGTATTAGAGGGAGGAAACTTAGGAATTCCTAAGAATGGGAGAGTGGGCACAGGGACATGAGCAAGGGCTGAGTGCACACTCGGAGCACCTGCTGCACGCCTCCCCTGCCTGCAAGGTGGAGGAGTGGTGTCAGAGCTTGAGCCCTGAGCCTCCTTTTCTGGCCTAGCCTGAACTCTTGAGTACAGCTCACCCTAAATGGTGACATGTGGGGAAGAGTCATTTCCATCTCTCCCTTTAAAACGTAAATTCCCTCTAAGGGAAATTGGCTTTGTAAGTCAGCCTTTATCAGTCAGGTGGTCCCTTCTAGGACCACCCCCACTCCTAGAAAAAGCACAGAAGAGAATTACTGAGAACCTAAGTGTCAGTCACTTTTGCATTTTAAGTCTTCCCTGCGATCTAAGAGTCCCATGTTACAGACTGGAAAACCAAGGCCCCGGGAAGTTAATCTGTCTTAGTAAGTAGCAGAGATACGACTTAAACTCAGGTATGTCTGACTCCAAAGCCTGTGTAAGGATGAAAATTATAGTAAACATCTGACTAAAAATACCTCACAGAATTTACTAAAAAATGCCTTAATAGCTTAGATGACAACTTGGAAAAAGCTGACAGAGCAATTACTAACTCCTAATAAGGTAGAAGAAAGCTTCTCTTTATAATCCAAAAGTCAAACCTTGGGCACAAATCGGTGTTCTACTTGTCTCTTGAGAGAAAAGACAGAAGAAAGACATCCCTTGGTCCTGGAGACATCTATCAAGTGTCAGAACATGCTCCAGAGGCATCCCAGACCGTGAGTATGGAAGTGCTCAGGCACTGAGTTTCATCACCATTACAACTCCATGAGCCAGTTGACATGGTTCGTAGAGGGCTGTTTGTCTATAGTATTTTTAAGTTGAGATGTTCTTACACTTAAGAAGGGTGCAGAAAATTTTGGTTCAGTGTAAAATTAGGTTTTATTGGTATTCTTCCTTCACTCGAAGCTTCGGGGATACTCTTTGTGCCTGAATTCATAGTTGTGGTTGGAAAGAATGTGAAGTATTCACATCTCAGTTTCTACAGCTCAGCTGGGCTGGAACCAGGTCCTGCTGGAATTCCACCATCTGTTCAAGCAGCAGGAGGGTCCTGATCCTCCTGCTAACACAGTGAAAACCATTGCTGAAATTCTGAAACATACACATTTGGTGAGATCAGGTTCCAAAACATTTGAAGGCATTTGTTCTCATTTTCCACAAATGTTTTTCTATAAAAACATATAATGAGTTTTTCTTTTTTAGGATGAAGTACTCATTAGTTCATGAAGCCAGGGGATCTTTTTGGAGCTTAGAAGGGCCAGAATTCTGAGGAAAGGAACTTCAGCATGGTGCCACAATACATTTCTTACTTTTTGTTTGTATACAGTTTGATACTAGTCAGGGATTTGGAGTATTCTGGAGTTAGTAGCAAGAATATTCTGCTCCTAGTACAAATGTAAGTTGCTAAGACTTAGACACCTCTCAACACTTGCTGACATTCCACAGTATAATAGTCACACAGGGCAGTATTACCTCCCGTGTTTCCTTATTGCAGACAAATGAAGCATCCTGGGCTTCCTGCAATTCTGATAAAACCATATTTTCTAAAAATGACTTTTATTTATATGGTTGACAACGAATAAATAGTTAATGACATTGTTGTGCACATTTACATCAGTTAAAGGATTATAGACCTCTAATTTCGAAGTAACTAGACAGGCATGAAAGAATACAACATAAAACAGCTTTGGAAAAAATTGACTTCGAATCCATCTGCAAGGTGGAAGGAGTAGGGGAAATTTCATAAAAATATAAACATGATCATTTATTCCTCTGAGTGGAATTTGCTGCCCGTAGTTTGGCTTTTCCTATGTGTGGTAGTGGAATTGACAGCTTTTGCCTGTGGCCCCTTCTCAGCATTGAGTAAGCATGTAATGGCATCTCAGCTGTCACTCTGGCCCTTAATTACAGGCTCTTTTCTGGTTTGTGACTTTGTCCTTTTGCCATTTGAACTGAGATGCATCCTGTGCCTGCATAGCTGCTGTGACTTGCCTCCAGCCATAAGTGAAGTCTACCCTTAGAAGACCGTGCTCAGTTTGGCTCTAAATAAAAACCTTTCCATTAACTCTGGCTTCCAATGTTTTGTACTCTGGGAGAACCAGTTCTCCAAGGGAGAGTTTTGTCATCCAGCTGAATTGCTGCTTCAGTAACAATGGAATCCACTCATATTGTTCTGAGCTTTAGGATGAAAGAAATGCCTATCATCTTCCTGATAGTGAACTTAGCAAACCACGGTTTAAAAGAATGGCTCTCATTACTCCTGAGTACCTTGCCCTTGCTGCTTATCTGAGTTAAGTGCCACTGTCTACTTCTGATCCTCAGAACAGTGGCCTCTAGCCTTTCCCTCTGCCTAACACCAAGTAGAGTGTTCTTTTTATAATCCTTCATGTTCCTGTAACACTTAGCATTTACAAGGCGTTTTCACATGCTTATTTGTGAGGTAGGTATTGTCACAGTTCTAGAAATAAGGAAAGGCTGAGACCTCCGAAAATGACAGTGTTGTACGTGAGCAGGCTGAGCCTTGAAAGCAGGACCTCTGTCTCCCACATGAGTGCTTCATTCCATCACACCTCTGCCCCACAGGTAGTCTGGTGGGGGGCCATGGTGGCACTGGGATATAAAATCTCTCAACTGCTGATATCCTCTTTTCCTTCCAGGCTGAGAATGTCTCTAAGGACCTCTACATAGAAGTATATCCAGGGACCTATTCTGTCACTGTGGGCTCAAATGACTTAACCAAGAAGACTCATGTGGTAGCAATTGATTCTGGACAAACTGTGGACCTGGTCTTCCCTGTGTGATGTTGACCATCACCTTTTTTTAAGCAGTAAAAATAAAGTCACTGTATGATTCTCTTAATAGCTGTACACTAATCCTGTTTTTAGTGCTGACTGGGTCAGCCTTCCCAGGAACTGGAATCTGTCTCTCAGTGTGCCTTTCTTGAGGGTGTAGAAGTCCTCCATCCTTGTTTGCCTGACAGTAATATAATCATGCTGTCTGAACAGATTTTACTGCCTGCTTTCCAAGTAAAGGTTAATTATGATAATAAAGAGATTTGGAAATGAAGCTAATTCAAATTCATTTTTATTGTTATTAAAAGGTAAAACAAAATGTCACTCATGTACAACTGTAGGCTTTATGGAAAGGTGGCAGAGTGGCTCTGGACACATTTGCCCAAAGTAGGCTGACCCCCACTTCCATGGAAGAGGCATCTTAAAGCAGCCTCAACAGGGCCCTGGCAGGAAGCCCCAGGGCAGGGCCCCCACACTCCTGTGCCCCTCACAGCAGGTGCCTTCCTGCTGCTCATCTGTTGGGAAGTCTTCATGGGGTGGAGATGCTGCTGGTTATTTGACTATTACCTGTGGCCCGTCCTCTGCCTCCTTCCCTTGAAGAAGGCCTTCGCCACTCTGTATAACTCTCCTCAAGTATTTACCATCTTTATTCTTTACCTATAAAAGGAGGAAAGAATCCATAGATTGTTATGCTGACTGCAGTGTCAAGAACCAAAAGTCACTGTTTTTAAATAGTCATTGATGTGGGCGAGTGCAGTGGCTCATAACTGTAATCCCAACATTTTGGGAAGTGAAGGCAGGAGGATCACTTGAGCCCAGTGATCAAGACCAGCCTTGGCAATACAATGAGACCTTATCTCTACAAAAAGTAAAAAATTTAGCCAGGTGTGGTGGCATGTACCAGTACTCCCAGCCACTCCGGAGTCTCAGGTGGCAGGCTCACTTGAGCCTGGGAGTTCAAGACCATAGTGAGCCTTGATTATGCCACTGCATTCCAGCCTGAGTGACAGAGAGACCCTGTCTCAAAAAAAAAAACAACAAAAGTCATTGCCGTGGCCCAAACTTCTTGTAGCTGCCACAGCAGTACTGTGACATCTCCCAGTTTTGTTGCCTGGTGATTATCTCATTTTGAACATAAACCTTTCCTTGGGAAAGGTGCCAGTATTTTATATGATGCAAACAAAGTTTCAAGTAGGGTTGTATTTTTCTTAGTGAGGAATAGACTCCATATTCCTAATATGGGGCCCTAATAAAGGAGGCCCCAACCCAATACCATAGTACAGAAGGTCAGTTAAATGTGGATCCTTGTACCACCAAGAAGCCTGTGACTAAATTCATGGGTTCTGTAAGCCTTTGGAAATTACATGCAAAATTGAGGGCATGTGCATTCTTCTGTGAAAAGGAACCATAGGTTTTACTGTTCTCAAAGGGGATGTGACCCAAAGGGTCTAAAGACCCATGTGAGGAGTCTTTAGGAAGTCCATTTCCAGCCTTTCTGCCTTACCTAGATTCTCAGCAGTCTTGGTCTAAGGGGAATTCTTGTTCCACTGACACATTGCAGGGCTCTGACTCCGCCTTCTGTGTTCAGCTTCCCCTGGCAGGGTCTGTGTTGGCTTTGTGTTGGTTGCTTTCGAGACCAGCTCCTTGGTAGTCCCCTGTACTATGGTTTGTACTCTCTGCTGTTTGTGATCCTTTTCTTCTTTCCAGATGTTGGAATATCTTGTTCCTAAATGCAAAAGTCAATTACTTAGGTTGAATATGCCACCATTTTGATGGGATAAATAGAACTAAAACAAGGATCACTGAAGTATCTGTCAGTTCACATCATTGTTTTCTTTTCATTGGCTTATTATATGAGACAAGGTCTTGCTGTCACCCAGGCTGGAATGCAATGGTGTGATCACAGCTCACTGCAGTCTCGACTTCCTGGGCTCAAGTCATCCACCCTCTCTTCACCACCCTAGTAGCCGGAACCACAGGTGCACACCACCATGCTTGGCTAATTTTTCAGTTTTTAAAGAAACAGGCTGTACCCCAGGCTGGTTTTGAACTCCTGGGATCAAGCAACCCTCCAGCCTTAGCCTCCCAAAGTGTTGTGTTATCTTAAATTTAATGAAGTGTGTTAACATTTCTGGCCATTATGGTTTGGGGAAAGATTACCTGATACCCAAGATTTGTAGTTGTGAAGAAATTATTAGATGTGTTTTTTAAACTGCCAGCAGAGCAAGCAAAGATAACCGACTGCCACCAGTTAAAGGAGCTTCGACACATTCACTGATCACTGATAGCACAGACCAGAAAGAAGACACTACAAGCTATGGAAAAACAAGTTTTAGGCCAGGTGCGGTGGCTCACGCTTGTAATCCCAGCACTTTGGGAGGCCAAGGTGGGTGGATCAAGAGGTCAGTTCAAGACCAGCCTGGCCAGCATGGTGAAACCCCATCTCTACTAAAAATACAAAAATTAGCCAGGCATGGTGGCAGGTGCCTATAATCCCAGCTACTAGGGAGCCTGAGGCAGGAGAATCGCTGGAACCTGGGAGGTGGAGGCTGCAGTGAGCCAAGACCATGCCATTGCACTCCAGCCTGGGAAATACAGTAAGACTCTGTCTCATTAAAAAAAAAAAAAAGGAAAAACAAGTTTTAAGAAATTAAACTGGGTACATTGGTGCACACCTGGTAGTCTCAACTATTTGGAAGGCTGAGGCGGGAGGATTGTTGAGCCCAGGAGTTCGAGGCTACAGTGAGCTATGATTGTGCCACTGCACTCCCACCTGGGTGACATAGTGAGACCCTGTCTCTAAAAGTAAGAAAATAATGGGGAAAAACAAAAATAATGGGAGATGTGACTTCCTGAGGAATAGAACAGTCTAAAAGGGAAGGAACACTTTTAAGTTTCTTTTAAACTTACAGATTGAATCCTGTTTCGGTCACAAGCAAAAGAGGCAGAAAGCACCTCCCTGCCAGCCACTGACAATCTGGCCTTCTTATGACTGTTAGGATCTAACTGTAACCTCTCACTGCCTGTAACTGCAAGTAACGGAAAGTGTGGAGGGCAGAGAAACCTATGCAAGAGCTTTTGTGAGCGGCAAAGCTCAAGGTTGACTGTTGAGCATCAGCACCCAACAAAATGGATATCAAGTACTGAGAGCAAGAATGGATTAAACATCAAGCGTGTTTAGGAGAAGCAAAACAGCATATATCCTTTAAAAGATATGAAACCTGGATGGGAGAAAAGCAAAGCTCTGGTGTTTGCCTTGTTTCCGCCCTGACCCGCACATGGTTTTCTGTGCTTATCTTCATTAGTGAGCCATGACAGGCAGTTCTGCGTGTGTGGTAAGGGCTGGGGACGGTCATGCCCTCCATATATTTGGGAACATGCTGATGCTGCTGCTCATGGGTCAGCTCCAGGAACTTTCCCGAGAGCGTAACACAAGATTTAGTACCTAACAGGAAAGCCAGGCCAACTACCTGAAGATACGATTTCTCTTCTTTATAGTCAGTTATTAGAATTTATTTTGGGGGAGAAGATAACTTTGGAGTGGATCTGTTTAAATGTGGTGCTGGAGAGAGACTGTAGGTATAAGTGGCTTTGGGCAGTAGTGGTAAGAGCTGTGTAAATGTAGGGCCAGGGGAAATTTGTATTTAATCAGGTTTGGAACCCTTCTAGAGATTGCTATGGAGCAAGCCATAGCAATGGGAACACAGACGCAGTACCTGGGGCATGTCTGGCCCCCACGGCCCCTCATGTTGTTCCTCTCCCCTGTGCTGGGCTTGGTGCTGTCTCAGTTGCTCCCCACAGACCCCTGTCTATTGGGTAGGTACAGCTTTCTTTCTCCAAGCTCTGCTGGAGCAAGAGGCATTCGGAGCTATGGAAAATTTGGCATGAAAACTCTAGAGTTTGGTATCATTTTCTTTATGTCCTCTCTACAAGCGATAATAAAGAAAGTGAGCCCAGTGTGGGCAGTGCCTACAGATCTAAGCCCTTAGCAGTGGTGTTTCTTCACCTCACAGCCTCCCTGCCCCGATACTCCACTGGATATTCAGTGACCCCAGGGCCCCCAAAATCCTGTCGAGGGCCAGACTCATCCAGGCCACCTCCTTCACACAGCTCTGACCGGCTTCTGCTCTTTCCGGGCTCCATTGGGAATTTAAATAGGATGAGTTCCCTGAACCTAGCAGGGCACGCCACAGTTCTCAGCAGCAGGCAATGCAGTGTGGGGCCGGCTGCAGGCTGCCAGCAGCAACAGGACATGGCTGCCCTGTCGGTCGTGAGGGGTGTGCAGCACATGGCAGTGCCGGGTCCTCCCCGCTCACTTATGGAGGGGCCTAGTGGGAGAATGGGGCCTCATGACCAATGCTTAAGGCCAGTTTTTATGCCTCAGTGTATCGACTCTCATCAACACCTGGAGGTGTTTGGACTGTTCATCTAGAGAAAAACCAAGGCCTCCAAGAAAAAAGGAGGCTAAAAACAGAAATGGCAGCGACCTGTCGGTAGAGACTAGTGAAGAAAGAAAAAGGCAGGTATTAAATAGGCATGCAACCTTAGCACAAAGATCCATTCATCCTTCTGCTTTTTAGGCCTCATAGCTGAAATGGAAGCCTGCTATTTCCCTCTTTCCACAGCCTCCTCTTCAGCATGACCAGACTCCCAACGATTACTTCCAGTCTCAACAGAGTGGACACGTGCATCAGATTCCTCAGGGACATGGAGGGAAGGGAGCCGGGGCCTCGGCCCCTGCCTTAGAAGGCAAGCCCACTCCCCTGGTATACCTGGCTTCCCAGGGTGCGGCTCAGGCCCATTTCTCCTCCAGTACCTCCACCCAGGCTGACAGAGGCCACTCTGCCTCAGAGGTGTCTCAAGAAGGATAGGGTCTGTGTTGACTGCACTGTTCACCATCAGTCTCTCGGGAGGGCCCATCTCCAGATCATTCTCCACATCATCTTGTTCATAGGAGGAAGATGAGGAGGAAGAAACAGCCAGAGGAGCGTGCCTTGCTACTTTCTCCTCTTTAGGACCTGCCAGGGGCAAAAGCTGTGCTGTGGGCTCCAGCTCCAACTCTGGAAGTTCTCTGGCTGTGACTTCTGAGGTCCCGGGTAAAGGCCACCAGGTGGTGCCACATGAGGGGCAGCCACAGAGGCAGGCCTGGCACAGCAGCTGGCAGCAGGCGTGAGGGCGGCAGAGAAGGCGCAGGAATGGAGTGCCCGGAGGAAGCTCGCTGGTCAGGCACCCAGTGACTGGCTGCAGCAGAGAGCAGCAGGGGGCCCCGTGGAGGGGCCTGGGGTGCTCCCTGGTGAAAGGCTTGTGCAGCCTCTCCACAGCCTTCTTCCAGATGGCTGGAGACACCCACTGGACCCCCGCTATGGGCACTTTAGCGGTTTTGCCATTCCAGAAATAAACAGTGATTTCTTCTTCCTTTGATGCTACATTACAGAAAACAGCAACATTTCATTATAATTATATAATTATCTCTATTTTTTTTCCCGAGACAGGGTCTGGCTCAGGCTGGAGTACAGTGGCACAGTGATGGCTCACTGCAGCCTCAACCTCCCAGACTCAAGCCGTCCTCCCACCTCAGCCTCCCAAGTAACTGCCACTTCCTAATCGTGGGATAAAGGCTCTTCTATCCGCACAGGCAAAGGCAGAGTTTTAGCCCGGCCCCTCTGCTCTGGCCGCCTGGCTCCTCACCATGCACCTCTCCGTGGAGAGCCTGCCAGGAACATCCTTCACCAGCACCGTCGTTACCTCCACTTCCCGAGAACTTGCCTGAGCCTCCCTGCCTCCTGGACTACCGTGGCCCGCAGGGGCTCACTTTTCTTGTGGAAACCAAAATGCATTCTCAGAAGCCTGCCTCTGTCATTCTCTGAATTACAATGGTGCTGACTGACCCAGGACTGTCCAGTCCCTGGAGGACCTGGTGAGGGTTGAGTCATGAGTAGCTAAACCATGGTTAGCTAACCAACACAGACGTGAAAGTTTTAGGCCACTTTCCCTGATTACAATTTTTTTTATAATCTGAAAGATACAATGTGCATCTTAAGGGATCTCTTGCTGCCTCAAGATTAAGCAGCAGGCAAGCAAGTAAGTTTTCTTAATGCCTTAGAAATCCCTAAGCTGTAGACGTACCCTTGGCTCTCTAGCCTGGCTCCTTCTAGGGACTGATGGGTCAGAGCAGCTTTTCTTACCTCTCTGGGGACCTCTCGTCTCCAAGCCCAAAAGAACGGTGCCAGGGCCATACTGCTGTTGGCCTGGCCCCCAGAGTGCCAGCACTGTGTCCCCTGGTCTCAGTGAGTATCCTACAGATGGAGAGAGCGGAATGACATTCTCTTCTAAGACCACGCTCTCCTGCTGGGCTGGCAGCTTTGAGCCTGCGACAAGAGGAGCCTCAAATTCCACAAGTAGGGCACCCTGTCTCTCCAGCTGTGGGAAAGAAAATGCTCAATAAGACCTGGCATTACAAAGTACAGAAGGGAGCACCCAGGTTCCCTACGATGCCCCCAAACCAGCCATGCCTGTCTAAATTTTTGGTAGAGACAGGGTCTCACTATGTTGCCCAGGCTGGTCTTGAAGTCCTGGCCTCAAGTGATCCCCCCATTGCCACCTCTCAAAGTGCTGGGATTACAGGCATGAGCTGCCATGCCTAGCCCCTTGCCAAATTCATATGTTGAAGTCATAGCCTCCAGAATGTGACCTTATTTGGGAATAGGGTCATGGGAAATGTAATTAGTTAAGACGAGGACTGAGTATGGCAGGTCCCTAATCCAGTGTGGTTGATGTCCTTATAAAGGGGGAAATGTGGGTAGACACACTCAGGGAGAAAGCCCCGTGAAGGGAAAGGCAGAGATCAAGGTGATGCTTCTATAAGCTGAGGGACACCAAAGCCTGCCAGCAAGCCATGAGAAGCCAGAAGCAGGACATGGAAATGGTTCTTCCTCACAGCTCCCAGAAGGAACCAACTGTGCCAACCCTAGGACCTCTAGCCTCCAGAAATGGGAGATGACAGATTTCTGTGATTTAAGCCACTCCATTTGTGGCACTTTGCTATGCAGCCCTAGCAAACTAATATACTCACTGGTATTTCATGTTCACTTCTACAGCATGGCAGTGGGAGAGCTGTGCTTATCCAAGAAACCAGCCTGTGGGATGTACACAGCTAAGACGTGTCTGATATGACAGGGCCACCCAGAAGAGCGTGCCAGCGAGATGCTGGGTGTCAGGGACTTGCCTCAGGAGCAGCCTTTATTTGAGCCCTGTAGTAAAAGCCGTCTGCTTCCCTTCTTGCCAGGACCCATGTGTTGGCAGCATCTCCAGCTCTTCCCAGCCAGCCAGGCCCCTGACATGCTGGACTGGCAATGTGGAGACATGGACAAGAAGAGGCATAGCTGGAAAAAAGCAATGGAAGTAATAGATGGAGAGCAACAAGCTCTAAACACATCAAGAGGCATGTTTCACAGTTAGATCTGAGGCGCGCCACAGCACACGAGGCAGGTGGAACAGAAATCCACGTGGAAAGGGGCAATCCATGACTTCCGGAAGGATAAGGTAAACCTCCGGGAGGGGCAGAAGGAGAGGACAGTGAGGGAAACCATCCTTGGGGGATTGGGAGTTGGCTCAAGGCAACCAAAAGGTAATTCGCCTTGATATATTCAAGTTAATTAATACTTGTTCTGACTCTAGACAACAGACTGGAAAAGTGTGGCTCACACCTGTAATCCCAGCACTTTGGGACACCGACGTGGATGGATCACTTGTGCTCAGGAGTTCAAGACCAGTCTCAGCAACATGGCGAAACCCCATCTCTACCAAATACAAAAAATTAGCTGGGTGTGGTAGTGCAAGCCTGTGGTCTCAGCTACTTGGGAGGCTGAGGTAGGAGGATTGCTTGAACCTGGGAGGCAGAGGTTGTAGTGAGCTGAGATGGCACTACTGCACTCCAGCCTGAGTGACAGAGACACCCTATCAAACAAAGAAAAGAGTGCCAGGAAAGTAAATTCTAAGGCGGTGCATGGGATTCCAGGATGAGACGTGGAATCTTGGGTAGTAATACCAACAGGGCAAAATTGTAATGCCTCTTGGTGCTGTGGGGTTAGAGGGATGAGGAAGTGTTTGGGGAGGGACAACCCAGAGGAGCTAAGGGGCTGTGGGACAGAAGAACTGGATGTTAGTTCCGGAAAATGTTGTGGTCAGGGCCAGTTGGCCTAGGAGAGCTGTTGAATCAGGGTTTGGGTTTTAGAAGCCGTTTTATTTTGTGGGCATGGTTGAATGCAAAGGGGGCCTGCCTGTCTGCCTCCTGCTGCCATCAACAGGCTGTCACAGCACCCCTGGTGCCAAGGAGCCACTGCAGGCCCATACTGGGCTGCCTTCAGCCCCACTCAGCCTCCTTCCTGTGCTCGTTGGCATCTAAAGTCCAGTGCCTAACTCTGGCCTTGAACAGGATGGTCCACCAGGTGAATCACGAAAGAGACCCATTAAGGGTCATTCAAGCTGGCACGTCCCTCACGTGGGCAGAATGCATCAGGCAGATCAAGGCGAGTCCCTGGAGCTTGCACACTCCGCAGGTGCGTATAGGCTGCAGGGCCTTTGCCCTCTTGTATCCACCTTTAGTAAGTGGACTGAGAATCCCATTCAGGAAAATCCTAGACAAAGGAGGGGTACTGAGGGAACCTGAAGAAGGGCCTGGAGATCCCACCTTAGCTGATTTCTCATATGATGCCAGAGCAACTCTCATTGGTTTCTTTGTTTTGAGATGGAGTCTAGCTCTGTTGCCTAGGCTCAAGTACAGTGGTGTGATCTCAGCTCACTGCAACCTCAGCCTCCACCTCCCGAGTTCAAGCGGTTCTCCTGCCTCAGCATCCCAAGTAGCTGTGAATGCAGGCATGCACCACCATGCCTAGCTAATTTTTTTATATTTTTAGTAGACGGGGTTTTGCCATGTTAGTCAGACTGGTCTCAAACTCCTGATCAAGTGATCTGCTTGCTTCGGGCTCCCAAAGTGCTGGGTTTACAGGCGTGAGCCACTGCGCCCAGCCAAGTCTCATTGTTGATGGTAAAATGAGCTATAACCTTGGTAACTGGCCATCCCTAACTGCCTTCTCTCACTCACACCAAGTGCAGCCTCTGCAGCTCTGCTCCAAGTGGGACAAAATCCACGTCAACCCTGGAGGGTTCCTTCCGGGAGCACCGAGGAGGCTGGAGTGACAGACCCAATGCAGATAGGGCAGTCACAGGCCAAACAGTGAAGACCACTTTCCGCCTTCTCAGGAAGCAAGTGTTTCCACCAGGGTTTACCACGGACAGCCAGGAATGAAAGAAAAGGAGGCACCTACTTCCCCTAAGGGAGCAGAGACAGGTACCTTGCAAGGGGCTTGTGCCCGGTGAGCCACGGCGCTTGGAGGGCAACGGGGTAGGTGAAGGAGAGGTCCCAGGGTGGAGCAGCACTGTCCCAGCCAGGGGCCTTGAGGCTCGTGGCTGCACTGCAGTATTTGAGCAAAGGCATCCTGGACCCCATGGAGGATTCCATGGCCTTCAGAGGATCCACCTGAGAACAGGCACCACCATTACCTCAGCTGCAGCTCAAAGCCAGCGGCAGCTGCCTGGGCAAGGCAGGGCTCAGCTCTGCGGTTAGCTGCCTCTGGGGACAGCTGAGTCCATGCATGGCCCCACCTGCTCCCACAAACTCTCATAGTTTCCTCTTTGAGTCACCTGCCTTGGCAACCCCCACTCAGGAAACAGGGAAGGGATTGTAAAAGCAAGAGCTGTGAGTTGAGAGCAGCCCAGCTTCAAATCCTCCCTCATAGCCTGCTGGCGGGTCCTCACTTAACCTCTGCCCTCCAGTTAACGCAGGATAGAATACATAGAAAGCACCTGGCGCATTCAGCCGCTCGCTTGACTGCTATTAGTGTTTTTCCTCCTTCCTCCTCCCCGGCCACCTGCAAGGCTCGTTCTGGCCCCAGGTGAGCTGCGATCTCAGGGCCGCCCACCCGCTTTGTAGCCGCGTTCAGAGGAGACAGCTGCTACCCGGGGCCCACGGTCAAGCCGCACTGCCGCAGCCTACCAGAGCCCGGTGAGGGTCTGCGCCTGCCCACCGCCACAGGTCTGACCCCCAAAAGGACTTATCCACAGCCCCAAACTCCCAGCCGCTACCTTAGCCTCAGGCGCCTTCTGATAGTTGGGGCTCAGGGCCTCAGCCCAACGACCAACTCCTGGTTGCCACGCCGGTTGCCATGGATGCAGCCTGGGGACGCTGTCCTCTGTGGCCAGTGAGTGCACTGAGCATGTGGAGAGGCGGGCAGGAGGCCTTGGGAGGCAGGTAGGGGGACAGACGGGAGGAGGTGTTCTCCAGGTTTCCCTTTAAAAGGAGGAGGAGGAAGAGGGAGAAAGGCCAGCGTGGCCTCAGTTCTCCAAAGCTCCGTGTGCCCACTGCTAGAAGTCAGTGGTGGTGGGAAGCCCTCGTGGATCCAGGGGACCCCTGTGTGGGAGGAGCCACCTCTGCAGAAACTTGGGGCCTCCTCCCTGTACTCGCTAAAGGAGGGGCGGGGGAGCCACTGGCAGCCTGGGGACTCTAGAATTTGTCCCTCCTCTAAACCAAAATAACCAAATGTGTAGGCCTGTTTGTCTACAACAGGCAGGACTCCGTTGAGGAGCTGAGGTGTTGGGACCATTTGGAGTGAGAGGCGGGGACGCTGGTGGCAAAGGAACAGAAGTCCAGACTCTGCTCATGGGAGGGGCTGGGACTTGGAGGCCTCTGACAGTCAGTGTGCACTGACTATGTGCCTACTATGCAGGCACGTTTAGAGGTGTCTTCCCCCACATCTATTTCTACCTTCTTCCAGGTCCTGTTTGGGTTGGCAGGTCCATGTGAATAGGGAGGCCAGGGCCAGCTCCAGGGGTAGAGTGGGTGACAGCCACCCCTTCCATCCCCATCCGGCCCCAGCGGTTGGTTAGACAGGGGCGTGTTCTTGGTGTTTCTGAACCTCTCCAATCAGCAGGAATCTGGAGACTTTGGTTGGGAATCCTGGAATATAGGCTTTCTCTTTCTTCCTATGCCTCAACAAGAAAGCTGATTGTTCTGAGAGCCTCTGACAGGCTTTTAGGGACACCAAAGCAACCCAGAGAAAGTCAGAGAGGATAGACCTCAGAAAATTGTTGGTTTGTTTGTTTTGAGACAGGGTTGCCCAGGCTGGCCTCAAACTCCTGGGCTCAAGGGATCATTTTGCCTCAGTCTCCCGAGGTGCTCAGACCACAGACATGTGCCACCATGCCCAGCTGAAAATAGATTCTCAGTGACAGTTTTGAGTCTTGCCTGCAGGCAGTGCTGCTGCGCTAGGCCTCAGCCATGCAAGCCAATAATTCCCCTTATTGATTATGCCGCTCTGGATTGGGCTTTTTCTTACTTGCAACTGAAAGCCTCTTAACTGATGACTGCCCTCCCAGAGCATAACTTCACAGTCGGGAGAATGACTGCTGCCCAGGACCGTATGCCAAGGCTGAGTTATTTGGCACACAAAGTTAAAGAAAGACCCACAAGAAGGCCGGGCGCGGTGGCTCACGCCTGTAATCCCAGCACTTTGGGAGGCCGAGGCGGGTGGATCAAGAGGTCAAGAGATCGAGACCATCCTGGTCAACATGGTGAAACCCCGTCTCTACTAAGAATACAAAAAATTAGCTGGGCATGGTGGTGCGTGCCTGTAGTCCCAGCTACTCAGGAGGCTGAGGCAGGAGAATTGCCTGAACCCAGGAGGCGGAGGTTGCGGTGAGCCGAGATGCGCCATTGCACTCCAGCCTGGGTAACAAGAGTGAAACTCCGTCTCAAAAACAAACAAACAAAAAAGACTGCGGGAGTAGTTTTAGGCCGGGCGTGGTGGCTCAAGCCTGTAATCCCAGCACTTTGGGAGACCAAGGTGGGTGGATCACGAGGTCAAGAGATTGAGACCATCCTGGTCAACATGGTGAAACCCCATCTCTACTAAAACTACAAAAAATTAGCTGGACATGGTGGCGCGTGCCTGTAGTCCCAGCTACTCAGGAGGCTGAGACAGGAGAATTGCCTGAACCCAGGAGGCGGAGGTTGCGTTGAGCCGAGATTGCACCATTGCACTCCAGCCTGGGTAACAAGAGTGAAACTCTGTCTCAAAAAAAAAAAAAAAAGACCCACAAAGTCTCTGCTGTGAGAGAAGGATTCTTGAATGAGACAGTGGGATTTCAGTGAAGGAGGGAAAAAAAAAATTCCAGTTTAGGTAGGAAGCAAGAGAGAAGACAGAAGGATACATTTGCAAGACTGATTTTCTGTTTGGGGAAATGGGTTCAGTACGTGCAAAATCACGTAAAGCAGACTCGCATCAGGGTTTGGATATGAGAGTAATTCTGGTTACAGATACAGAGGCATCATCGCTAACTACATCAGACGTTATCGTATGTATAGGAAAAGGCCAAAACTCAGGCCATTTATCTTTTTTATTTTACTTTAGGTGTATACTATATCCAGCATTTCTCCCCATGTTATCCCTCCCCACCCTGCCCCCCACCTCGCTGTCCCTCCCCTACTCCCCCAACTGCCCCCAGTGTATGATGCTTCCCTCCCTGAGTCCACGTGTTCTCGTTGTTCAACACCCACCTATGCGTAAGAATATTTGGTGTTTGGCTTTCTGTTCTTGTGTCAGTTTGCTGAGAATGATGGCTTCCAGATTCATCCAAGTCCCTACAAAGGACACAAACTCATCGTTTTTTATGGCTGCATAGTATTCCATGTTCTTTTAAGGAATTTAGCGACTCAGGAGACGGGGTGGAGGAGGGAGAGGGGCATGTACTCTGTCCTATTGTGTCTGCAAAGCATCTTTCCCGAGAGTGAAATAGCTGCCCGAAGTAAGAGTCAGGGGCTTTGTGAAATGTTGCTGGCAAACAGATGAGAAAACGTGGCTTCTTATGTTTGCTGCTTAGTTTTGCAGTAGGGAGCTTTGAAAACTAAGCTGATAAATTTAAACAAGGTGGCATTCAGAAGTCATCAGGCAGCTTAAGCAACAAAGTGACATGAAATACTTTCAGAGAGAGTGAGGCTGGAGCTTGTTGAGAACACAGCCCGGGAGGCCAGACGGGAGACTGCTACCAATGACCCAGACACAGGTGACGGGACTGGAGTAAGAAAATAGTAACAGATAATCACCGGCATCTTTCTGATTCAAGGCGCTCTGCTGGGTACTAGGAATATAAGATGAATAAGGCTGGATGAATCATCTTCAAGGAGCTTGCAGTCTACTGTAGAAGACAGACGGGTGTGTAAAGTGTCTAAAGATAGCAGGATAGCAGCCACAAGAGAAGTATTTATAAGAAATAATGGAACAAGTAACAGCTGGGATAGTTGGTGAAGACTTCATAGAAGCATAGTGAGTGTGATAGACAGTGTGTGATAGGTTCTTGACTGGGCCTGGGGACACATGGGACCTGGGAGTTAAAGGAGAAGGAAGAGCTGAAGCTGGCCATGGAAGCAGAAATAGACACATTTTGAAAGCAGACTCCAAGATACCAGGCAGGGACTGTCCTTCCCAGGTATGAAGGAAAGGCCTGGCAGCTCCAGCGTTTCTCACTTAGAGAACCCGGGAATGGTGATGTTATACACAAGACAAGATAATGATAATAATAATCAGTAATGATGGCCAAGCACAGTGGCTCACACCTGTAATCCCAACACCTTAGGAGGTAGGGGTGGGAGGATCGCTTGAGGCTAGAAGTTCGAGAACAGCCTGGGCAACAGAGCCAGACTCCATCTCTACATAAATGTTTTTAATGATTATGAATACTTACTGTATGTCAAGTTCTGTTCATCATTATCATAAACACATGGGAATTGCTGTTATACTCATTTTGTGGAGCAGAACCGAGACATAGAGAAGAGGCAGCAGAGTTATACGGCAAATGCAGGCCTGCCTTCTTAAACCTTATACTACGCTGCCTGAGGAAGTCTACGTGCAGGAAAGTGATGCATCTGAAATAATTTCAAATAACAAGGTTTTGTAAACTACTTTTGCATTAGCCCTAAGACACTTTCCCATGGTGGTGACTTCTTGTCAATCCCCAGTAAATAAAAATCTCCAGGGGCTCCAGTCTGACTCCTTCCTGGTGGGAAGAGAAGATGCCTGTCCTCTCCATGGAGGACCCTGGGTCCTCACCGCAGGCAGCAGTTTGGGTTTTGAAAGGTTACTGGGTCCCTTCCTTGGGCTGTGTTCTTGCTGGTAAGAAAAGTGTTGCCCACAAAAATAAGACACAGAACATACTCTTTAAAAAAAATCTCCAAATGTTGACATGTGATTGCTCAGCATGAAGCTTCAGTGAAGAGATGACCAGCACATACTTTAAAGGCTTCCACAAAAGCTTCTCATGCCTGAGTCCCTGGCCAAGCATGTGAGATGGGCAGGGTGAGACATGCAGAGAGTCTGGGGCCCCCTGCTCCCCTACAGTTCATGAAAGACATAAAGCAGCTCCTCAATCTACATGAGATCATGTTTAGTACAATTGAGTAATACCCAGCATAGGTTAGCATTTGAGCTATTTGCTGCCCACTCAGAAATTACATTCGGGAAAAACTATCAAATGATGCTGTAGGAGACCCCATTTTGTGATACTATTCATTTCTATTTGGAAATACTGACTCAATTCTGAACATAGAGTCAGCATGGCGGCTGGTGGTTGCTATAGTGGAGGAACATTTTCCAGGGTTATTCTTGGTCTCGGCTTTATCAGGGTACAGAAGAGACTGCAGGTAGTTAATGTACTTGATCGCAGCTCTGAGGGTTTCCACTTTGCTGAGTCGTTTCTCCAAATACTCCTCTGGCAGATGATGGCGGAGCTGGGCGTAGCCTTCATTGACACATTTCACCCGCTGCCTTTCCCGCTCGTTCCTTTTCCGGATGAAGGCCGGTCCGTAGGAGTACTCACACCTTCTGTAATTTGGATAAGGCATTGGGAAAGAGAAGGGGCAGGGTTCACCATAATTTCCCATGATGAGGGAGTCACTGGGAAAAGGCAGCAGTGGCAGCTCCTCAGAATAAGGGGGCAGCACCGGGGCCTCCGGGTGCAGGTGGAAAGTGACCGTGGGCTCCAAATAGAAGGACCTGGTCATTGGCAAGCAGGCAGAATTGGAGAACATAGGAAGTTTGTCAGGCAGACTAGAGTTGCTTCTGTTGTCCATCATTTCCTCTTTAACCTGCAAACATAACCAAGTGTATCAATTTGGTCAGATTGAAAAAGCAGATATCATCTACTTTCTTGGAGATCAATGTTTCAGAGACTTTTCTGCTTTGATGACTAATTTCTGGGCTCATGTGGACAAGAAGATGGTGTTATAATATGCTGTGTGTAGTAAGGATTTTTGATGGTACACAGAAACAGCACTAAATACCATTGAATCGCCTTGTGAGAAAGTTATTCTCCTTCAATTCCCTTTCAATCCTTGTGGTTACAAAGATACAACCTTAGTCTGCTGAGAATGTGTCTTCCACACCACACCGCTAGAATTCTTTTTTTCTTCTCTTTCTTTATTTTTATTTTTGAGACAGGGTCTGGCTCTGTCACCCAGACTGGAGTACAGTGGTGCAATCATGGCTCACTGGAGCCTCAACTTCCCAGGTTCAAGCAATCCTCCTGCCTCAGCCTCCCAAGTAGCTGGGACCATAGGCAGGCATCACCACACCTGGCTAAGTTTTATATTTTTTTGTAAGGACAGAGTCGTGCCATGTTGCCGAGGCTGGTCTCAAACTCCTGGGCTCAGGCATTCTACCTCCCTCGGCCTCCCCAAGTGCTGGGATCATACACTGGGAGCCACTGTGCCTGGCTTAGAATGCTTTCTAATCCTCCTAAAATCAAAGCCTTCAACAAGCAATAGCATCCAGCTAGAATTCAGTATATTTATTAAGTTCTATTTATTGTGAGTTCTAGTAATTTTACATTTATGACAGCGATATAAAACTTTTCTTTTTGAGACAGAATCTTGCTCTGTCACCAGGCTGGAGTGCCAAGTCATGCTCTCAGCTCACCGCAACCTCTGCCTCCCTAGTTCAAGCGATTCTCCTGCCTCAGCCTCCTGAGTGGCTGGGATTACAGGCACCCACCACCACACCCAGATAATTTTTGTATTTTTAGTAGAGATGGGGTTTCACCATGTTGGTCATGATGGTCTCGATCTCCTGACCTTGTGATCCGCCGGCCTCAGCCTCCGAAAGTGCTGGGATTACAGGTGTGAGCCACCAAGCCCAGCCAAAGTTCCTCTTAAAACTAAATCTTCTTTAGTAAGAAAACGTGATTTGATTTAAAGAAAAAGAGTGAGTAGCTAATAGTACAGATGGAACACCGGTATAATGGTGATCGTGAAGGCAGGTGCAAATAAAAAGATGCAGGGAAACAATGAAACACCACAATATTCAAATATATGCTAGGGAAATTAAGAGCTAGCTAATGATCATGCAAACCTCAGAGGCATAGCCTTCTTAAGTAATACCTGAAGTGCTAGAGGGAAAACCGAAAACCCAAATAAAAAAGGAATCATTTGCTCTTAAATGTTCACTGTGGGACTTCCTTAGGTGAGAAATGTCCCCTACACATTTAAAACAAAGTCAATTTACAAATTTTACATATGTAGAACTGTAAATATATTGAATAAAGAGCATCTATGTTTATGTTTTTTAAAGTTTTTACTTATTTTACATTTTTATTTTTAGAGACAGTGTCTTGCTCTGTCAGCCAGGCTAGAGTGCAGTGATGTGATCATGGCTTACTGCAGCCTCAAACTCCTGGGCTCGAGTGATCCTCCTGCCTCAGCCTCCTGAATACTTAGGACTGCAGGTGTGTACCACCATGCCTGGACATTTTTGTAGAGATGGGGTCTTGTTTTATTTCCCAGGCTGATCTTAAACCTCCTAGTTTCAAATGATCCTCCCAAGTCAGCCTCCCACAGCACTGGGATTACAGGCATGAGCCACTTCACCCAGCCTATGATTAGGCTTTGTTGGTTTTGTGTGTCTGTGTTTCTGTAGAACTCGAGGATGAAGCCGTGTAACCCAGGAGATCCCACCCCAACACATTTCTTCTTTATGAATAGGTCTACATCCATCTCTTGTTTTAAACCACCGTTACTTTTCGCCTTTGACTGTAATCAAATAGCAACAACAGATTTTACGGAGGCACTGCAGTGTAGCCAGTTAACTGGGAGGCAGAGTAGTAGTGTAGAAAAAGAGCTTTTTCTCTCAGTCATAACACCCTCAGGTTTCAATATGGCCTTACCTTTTCCTAGCTATGTGTCCTTAGGCAGGTGTCTTAACCTCTCTGTGCTTTTGCTTTTCCCCATGTACAGTTGAGCTACTAACTATTCTGCAGGGTGGTTGTGAGGATAAAGTGGGAAAAAAACAAAAACAACAACAGTTGACCCTCCGTATTGGCGAGTTCCACATCTGTGGATTCAACCGTGGGTGGAAAATATTCAGGGGAAAAAAAGGGATGGCAGCATGGGTAGTGAATACACACAGATGTTTTTTCTTGGCATTATCCTGTAAAGAATATAGTGTAACAAGTATTTGTATAGAATGTACATTGTATTAGGTATTTATAAGTAACCTAGAGATGATCAAAAGTGTTTGAGAGGGTGTATGTAGGTTATATGGAAGTGCTATGTTATTTCTATAAGTTGGACCTCTGTGGATTTTGGTATCTGAAGGGAGTCCTGAACCCAACCCCCCATTTCAGAGGGGTGACTGTGCATATAATGCACCCAGCATTTGCCTCTTTCCTTTCTTTAGAGATGAATGAATGCTTACGCGAGCGTTCCTTTCTAAACTGCACCTTGTAGAAAACCTGGTTTATGTTTTCCTTAACACTGTAGAGTTGCAACACTGATCTATCCTAAACACCTGTGTTGAGAGATGAAGACCCTACCTAAAACAGAAAAGAAAAAGCAGCTTGAAGTCTAATTGTGGGCTTCCATCAAAAAAGGAAATATGGCATTAATTTCTCAGCAAGTTAATTTTTCAACATCTTTAGAAGTGACGGGTTATCTGTGATTGTCATACTAAACACACACACACACACGTGCGCGCGCGCACCAAACAGTCCTAATGTTTAAGATTAGATAATATTGGCACTTATTCCTCTACCTCGGTACAGCAAAACCTGGGCAGGCTGCACTGTGTAGTGGGAGGAGCAGCCCCTAAGACCCGAATTCAAGTAGGAAGGTCAGGGGAGTGGGGAACCAGCCTGGGCCGCAGGGGCAGGGGTGCTGGCAGGGACAGGTGGCCGGGGGTGCAGGGTTATAGCAAGTCACGGTGAAGAGGCTGGAAAAGAAGCCAATGCCAGGAAAAGCTCTTCTTAAAAGGGATGGGGCTGGGGGGATGAGATAAGTGGGATAGGTCCAATTTAAATCAAAACAGAGAAGCAGGAAATGAAAGATTCCAAATTACTGACCAAATGACCTAAAATAACTAACAAAACAAAAATCTCTGGAAAATTAAAAATTAGCCAGGATTCTGTCAAAAAGGAAAAGTTGCTGAGAGAAACACATTAGGAAATTCCCAAGCCAGGAATTCTAGAGGGTAAGAGAGAACGGGTATGGCAGAAGCTGCAAAATGGTGGCAAATGGGCGTGAAGCCCGTATTACTGCGTTTCTGACACCAGCAGAGCCTTGTTGTGGCCGTAGTTAACAAGCCAAAATGGATGAACAGGTTACCAAAAAGTAAAGCAGGTGTCATCATCAAACCTAATTACACAAAATCATTATTTTAGTGACGGTTTTTTTCACCCTAAAAGATTATGTAAACAATATCTTAAATCTTGACCCAGATGAAATCTGAGTAATTTGTATATGCCACAGGTAATTAAAACTTGCTAGGTTTTAACAATACTCTGCATAATTCCTGAGAAAAGAGCATGGTGTCTCTGGAGACACATTGATGAGAAGTTTTTTCTGTCAAGCCTTTCCAATAAGTTCACCAATCAATGTGGTAGCATTTAAATATGATCACCTTTTATTCAAAGAAGAAAATTTAAGACAACAGTAAGAAAATGAAATAAAATGCAACAACAAGGAGACTCGAGATAGAAAGCCTAGAGAGGTCTGGATGTGTTTGTAGGAATTGAGTGTAAGTTTTTTTTAAAAAGCAACACAGATTGGTAGTGCTGGGACTCCATGGTTCCAGGCACAGACACAGCTAACAAACACACCTATCTTGGGAAAATCTCCGGTTCTGTCTTAGAGCAATTATGGGAAACAAATGATGAGGTCTTAATGATTAAATCCTAAGAGATTCTAGATGCTCTGCTGAGCATAAAACTTCAAATTTCAGAGATGCAAAAGATATGTAGCATGTAAGAAATAAACAGCTGTAACTGCAGATGTAATTGAATTATGGAATGTGAGAGCTGGGAGGAAGCTCAGAAATTCCTCACAGGTTGTGGTGTGTTGTGAGGTTACAAAGCTAGTAGCAGAGCAGGGGCCAGGGTCCCGACTTCCAAATCAAAACTCCTTCTGTTCTTCTAGATGATTTAATTGCCAGCAAAACCTGGATCTTCCACTCTATGGCCAATAATTGCGTTTAAGATAATAGAATAATCAGATAGCTGACAAAATTCAGTATCAACTGTGCCTAGCGATTTTCTTAAAAATCATATTCTTCAGAAAACTAAACACCACATGTTGTCACTCATAAGTGGGTGTTGAACAATGAGAACACATGGACACAGGGAGGGGAACATCACACACTGGGGTCTGTTGGGGGTGGGGAGGTAGGGAAGGGCTAGCAGGGGGTGGGGAGATTGGGGAGGGATAGCATTGGGAGAAATACCTAATGTAGGTGATGGGGGTTGGGGGGATGGAGGCAGCAAACCACCATGGCATGTGTATACCTATGTAACAATCCTGCACAATGTGCACATGTACCCCAGAACTTAAAGTAAAATTTAAAAAAAAAAAAATCATGTTCTTATTCTTCCCCAAGGGCCACTCTGGAGAAAGGTCTCTTACCTGAGTTTTGTCGTCAGGATGCTGTGTTTAGGGCTGAGTTAGAGTTAACCTGATTTATAGGTGATCATTTAATAACAATATGCAAAGTAGCTTATAGTTAAACAGAACTGCTCAGTTCTGGTTTGCCTGTTTTTCCTACCCAAGATGTAGATATGACAACACAGACAATACTAAACAGAAAGGTTTGCTTACAAAACTGGATAGTTGTAACAAATTCTTTTGTTTAAAGAATGTCCCATTCTTCTGAGTTATATGATATTATGTCAAAATTATTTATGGAGCAATAGTCTCATAATGTGCAAATACTGGTCAGTATTCCTTTAGACAGATTAAGGCCAGAACTAGGAAGGTCAATATGAACTTATATCTTTTTTTTTTTTTTTTTTTATTTTTTTACTGTTTATTTCTTTAAAGCCAGTCAAATTTAGCAGTGGGGACATTAGTGACATGAATGTGGATGTTAAATTCTGATAACCCAATATCATAGGAACTAGCCAGTATCTTTTTCTTAAATAGCCATTTTATTTTTTCTTCTTAAGTATATTTT